AAATGGAGGTATCTGTGAGTGAAGATCAGACTAGTCTCATTTAATGAAAAAATACTAGGAATAGATATTTTCAAACTTATACAAGTTTAGGCCCTCATAACCATATAACTGGTTACAAAGAATCTCCACCTTAGTTATATCGCATCCAATCAAAGATGCAAGTATCAATTCCATGTGAACTCCAGCTAGATATAAGAATTAAGATTGCCGTGAAAGTCACGGAAAGAGCAATACCTTTATTTGACAGAAAAAAAGTGTTTTTGAGAGAGAGTACCTCATTAACTTCAAGTCCTTCTTGCTTGGCTATCTGCGATAACCTTTTCCCCATCTATAATTGGCATAATAGTTTTGTCAAAATGTTAATCAAGTCAATTGTACGAAGTAACAAGCAACAATTTCCATTTCATTTTGCTATTTTGTTACTATGTTCATCAAAAATAGATGCACACCCAACAGATTTGGGAAGTTGGGAGAAGATTTTTAGAACAAGATCGTATATTTTTTGTTGTGAATTAAAATTTTCAACTAAAACAGCATCTAAATCCTCCATAAAAATATTATTTTGTTCTTTTTTGAGGATTTGTGTATTTGCTGTTTGATAAAAGTCTCTTTCTCTGTCTGTTTATATCTATATATCTTAATTATTTAGTATGCTTTATGTGGAATTTTAAATTGTTTTAATGAGCTCGAATAACGTTGTTTACAGGTATTCTGGTTCTACTTAGAAGCAGATTTTTAAGAAATGAAAGGACAGATGAGGAGGAGCGACCACCTTCAAGGGCAGCTAGTGAGTTAAATCAATTAAGGCAGCGACAAACATCTCTGGCCTGAGGTATGGATGCCTATGCAAGCCATACGTCTCACTTCTTTCAATTTTTGTTCTTCCCCTTTTTGTACCTTCTTTTGCCCAATTCTGGTTTTTATGCGCTTTTTCGTTCTCATGTTCGGTTCTAGTGGATGGAATGGAATATTATATTCTAGATTTTTGGGCGAAAAACCTTTCCAATGTCTTATAGTTCAGTCAATCTTAATATTTTAGGTACAAATTTTTGTTAAAAGAACCTTAAAATTGAAGAAATGTTCATTTTGTCACTTTTAAGGTTTCATTCATTTGAATCCCCTGTTTTCTCTGTAATTTCCGATATATAAATGAGACCAAACATTTGATTTTATATCAATCAAATCAGCTAACATGTGCAATTATAATTGAAGGACAACGATCAACGATTGCCCTGACTCATTTAAATTTCTGGGTCCGCCACTGCTTATGATGGACAAAGAGTGGCTGCACTTATCAAGGTTATAATTGAAACTAATCTTATAAGTCTAGCTAACCAATAAACAAATAACATATAATGATCATAATGTTTAATTTGTAGATTTTCAGAACAATATAGAGATGGAGCACAGAATTTTGTTGACCGAGCTCGTGAGAATCGCAATTCAGGAATGATAGCATGCCCTTGTGTTAATTGTAGGAATCTAAAACATCATCATCATGATACAGTCTATGAACATTTGGTTATTAACGGCATGGATCCTACATATACAGTTTGGGTATTTCATGGAGAGCAACCAAGTGAATCAAATTTGAAACTTGTAGAAATACCTGAGTCGAGTAGGATGTTTAAGGATTTCTATGCACAACACGATGTAAATCCTGAAAATCATCCTTATGGAAGAGACGAAGAGATTGAAAGTTTAGTTAATGATGCTGAAACTCCTTTATATCCTGGTTGCAAGACGTTTACAAAGATGTCAGCTTCGGTTGCTATGTTTAAGCATAAAGCTTCACATGGGTTATCAGACAATGGTTTTGATGAACTTATAAATCTTGTTCGAGACATGCTGCCAGAGAATAATACCCTTCCAAACTCATTTTATGAGATGAAAAAACTTGTCAATACATTTGATCTTGGCTATGAAAAGATACATGCTTGCCTCAACGATTGTTGTCTATATAGAAGGGAGCTTGAGCATGCTGAATTATGTCCAAAATGTGGTTGCTCGAGATGGAAAATCAACCAACGAACTAAAAAAATTCAAAAAAATATCCCAGCAAAAGTGTTGCGTTATTTTCCTATAATACCAAGACTTAAGAGGATGTTTGGAATATATGAGATGTCAACACAACTTAGATGGCACTCAAGTAATAAAAGTTCAGATGGTAAGATTAGGCATCCGGTTGATTCATTGAGTTGGGAAATGATTAACAGAAGGTGGCCTCATTTTGCATCCGATCCTCGAAATATTAGATTAGGTCTTGCTACTGATGGATTTAATCCTTTCAACGATCTTAGCTCGAGATACAGTTGTTGGCCAGTAATCTTAACTATATATAACTTGCCTCCCTCAATTTGCATGTCAAAGGAAAGTTTGATGTTGAGTTTATTGATCCCTGGTCCGAAACAACCAGGTAATGACATAGATGTTTATTTGGCACCGCTTGTCGACGACTTATTGTTGTTATGGAGTGATGGGGTTGATATGTATGACGCAGTTACAAAGTCTAAGTTCAACTTAAAATGTATTTTGATGTGGACAATACATGATTTCCCTGCATATGGAAATATATCTGGGTGGCCCGTTAAAGGAAAAATTGCATGCCCTATCTGTCGTGAAAATACATGTTCTATATGGTTGAAGCATGGTAGGAAGTTTGCATACATGGGACATAGAAGATTTCTCGCCTTTGATCATCCGTTTCGCATGAAAAAGAGCTGGTTTAATGGATATGTTGAACATGGTATTAGGCCGAAGATAAAAAATGGTGAAGAGGATTCTATTGAAGTTGATAAAATTACAAATGATTGGGGAAAAAGTGGTAAACGAAAAAGAAAGAAGAATACAACTCCATCTACTGTAACGTGGAAAAAAAAGTCAATATTTTTCGATCTACCATATTGGAAGGTAATTTTTGTAATAGTTCCTTCATTTTTATTTCATACTTGCAATTGTATGTAGTTTTTCATGACTCCATAAATGTTTGATTTGCAGACTTTACTTGTACGTCATAATTTAGATGTGATGCACGTGGAGAAGAATATTTGTGATAGCATCATAAGTACACTTTTGGATGTCAAAGGAAAATCTAAAGATGGCTTTAACTCTCGTAAAGACATGGAAGAAATGAACATTAGGCATGATTTACATCCTCATAGTATAGGAAATAAATTCTACCTACCAGCTGCTCCTCACACGTTATCTAAAGCAGAAAAACAAATATTTCTCAGACGGCTTGCTAACTTGAGATTACCCGATGGCTATGGATCTAATATTGGAAATTGCATATCAGTGGAAGAATGTAAGATAGTTGGACTGAAGTCGCATGATTGTCACATTTTAATGCAACAATTGTTATCAGTTGCACTTAGAGGACTTCTACCTAAAGGGCCAAGGAACTCCATTTTTAAATTGAGTTCATTTTTCAAGGAAATATGTCAAGGAATTGTAGATAGAAATAAGGTTGAACAATTAGAGGAGGACATTTTTGAAACTTTATGCATGTTAGAAAGGTATTTCCCGCCTTCATTTTTTGATATAATGGTTCATTTGACAATCCATATTGGGAGAGAAGTTCGTCTATGTGGGCCTGTACAATATCGTTGGATGTACCCATTTGAGAGATATATGAAAGTGTTGAAAGGGTATGTTATGAATCGTACGCGGCCTGAAGGGTGCATAGCTGAGCGATATGTTGTCGAAGAAAATGCGAAGTTTTGTAGCAAGTACTTAAAACAAGCATCTGAAATAGGCTCTAAGCATGTACACAATGAAGAATATGAGACTGATTTCCTAGTTGCAGGGCGTACAATTTCTAAGGGGAAGGCACTTGTGCTATCTAATGAGATGTTGAAAGTTGCTCATCGCTACGTGTTACTGAATAGTGCAGAAGTTCAACCATACATAGAGTACGTTTATTAAATATCGAATTCCAAAAAATTTTAATACTTCAACGTTGCTTACTTTTTAATCTATTGTATTTTTCCTAGGATGCATATGGATGAATTGAAGAGTGTTGATAGACGATTGGAAAAAAATGAGAATTTATTGCGTAAAAAGCATATTGATGCTTTTGCTGCCTGGTTGAATGATAAGGTTGGAATACACGCGTGAAAAAAAATAAATATATAAATGTGCTATTTATTTTTTGTTTTCTAACATTTTTAAATAATAACAGATTAAAGGTGAGCTATTGCCGGACAAAGTATCAAACAATTTGAAGTGGCTTGCACGTGGTCCTAGATATCAATCCATGTCATATTCTAAATTTGTTATAAATGGTCTTCGATTTCACACTAAGGATGCAGAAAAATCTCGCCAAAACAGTGGCGTTTTAGTTGAAGCAACGACCATATGTAGATCTAGTGCAAAAGATAATGCCCAAATGGTTGGGCAAGTTCTTTATTATGGAGTTTTGCATGATGTGATAGTGCTTGATTATAATACGTTTCATGTTCCAATATTCAAGTGTGATTGGGTAAATATCGTGAACGGAATAAAATACGAAGATGGATTCACTTTGGTTAACCTTCACGAGGGACATAGACAATTTGAAAATGATCCTTTCATCTTGGCAACACAAGCGAAACAAGTCTTTTATTCTAGGGAAAATGAAACATCTAGTTGGTATGTTGTTTTGCAAGCGCCACAAAGAGACTTTGATGCATCACACATGGCAGAAGATTCTAATTATGAGGCAACTATTCCACTAGATGTATCACAGCCAATTACAGACAACCATGATGATGATGAGAATTATGCAAGGATAGATGTTGAAGGCGTATTTTGTGATACATAGTGTAGATTGGTAACTTACTTCTTTTTAGACTATGTACTGTTTACATAATGATCAATTTTGTTGTACTATAATTTACATATTTTAATGATATGTCGAATGCTTCGAATTTATTAAGATCTCTAACTATAATTTATTTTTACATCCCAGGTTTTTGTTCTAGATCTAGGGATTCTTTGCAGCGAGAAGTGTATTTTGTATGATGGACAAGGCTCAGGTAATTATATTTTCTTGTAATACATGAGAGATATATGCTAAGTTCTGAAAATAATTGCTCTTATATTTTGTTTTCATGTTGTATTCTTTTAGTCAAGTAAACAATCTTTGAAGAGTTCAAAAAGAAGAAGAGCTGCAATTGCTAATGCAATTCGAGAGACGAGTAAGAGAATAAGAAGCTCTAGTGAACCAGGAGATAGTGTAACTAGTCCAACTAATGACGAACAAACCACGTTGCAGAAAACTACAAATGCTCCGAAGAAGAAAAGAGGTCCAACACAAGTGAAGATGATTCCGGAACATAATTATCAGAAGATGGATCTCGAATTCAATGAATACGGCCAAGTGGTTGGCCTGAACTCTGATAAATTTGCGAGCATGGTTGGGGCCCTAGTTCGAGAACATGTGCCTGTTGTAATTAAAGATTGGCATTCAGTGGATGGAAAGATGAAAATGGAGCTTTGGGCTTTCATACAGGTACTATTCAGATCAATTCTGTTCTTAGTTGAATGATATTTTCCTTTGAAATGAGGCTAACACAGTTTTCCTTAAATTTATGTTTATACACAAATACAGCAAAGGTTCAAAGTCAGTGATTGTCATCAAAGAATGACCTTTCAATATATGGGAAAGTATTGGAGGACATTCAAATCTAGACTGAGGAAAGAAATTAAAGCTCAAGTTGAATCATCTGTGAATAGAACACGCACTATGAAGCTTCTTAGACCAAAGAACGTCGAGTCCGAAGAAGTTTGGGTAAAATTTGTCGAGGATACTCTTTCAGCTCATTTTACTGTAAGTATAAACGGACTTTTTGAATCTTAAAGCTTTATAATTATTGTTGTATTGATGTTTATTGCTTTTGTAATAGGAAAAAAGTTCCAAGTTTAGCAAGATGAGAACTAATCAGAAGCTTCTCCATACAATGGGTCGAAAGGGTTATCCACGCATGGCTCATGAAATGGTATGTTTTTTGGAACTTATCTTGCCTCACAGGACTTGTCCAATTCTAAAAAATCTAATAACTACATTTATACTGCAGAGAAAGAAGAATCCAGATTTAAAAGGGTTAAGAACAAGAGTATGGACTTGTGGACATCTTAGGAAAGATGGAAAACCAATAAATGAAGCAGTTGCCGATACTTTGGTATGTGTACTATGGCAACGTTTAACCTCTACAATTTGATTTATTAGTTGTATCACTTGCTAGTATAAAATTTGAGTACCATAAGTGCAGAGAAGGATTGAAGAATGTTCCGCATCAATTTCTGATACACCCGCCGAAGATTCCATTCGCGATGATGCTGTCGCTCGCATTTTAGGCCCTGAATGTCATGGGAGAGTTAGGGGACTCGGATTTGGAGTTGTACCATCAAAGGTGGATGGAAAAATACAAAGTAGTGGGAGAGTTAGAGAACTTGAAACCCAATTACAGACTCAAGCACAAAGGATGGGAGCACTAGAAGAAAAAGTGGAAGCACTTCTCAAGTTATCTCAGCAGGTTGTACGTAGTTACATTTTATATATACTATAATAATATAGGTTCATATCTAATTACATGTAGAATAACTTATCGAATTTTTTTATCATTTACAGAGTGTAGACGACAGGAATTCAAATGTCATTACTCCTCAGGTTTTTGTATCTTGCATTCTTAAATGTTTATTCATCATATATTCATTATGTAGCGTTCTAATTTTTAAAAAATATGTTTTGTCTTCTACCAAAATGTAGTCGCACCAAGCAAGTACCACACCTATGATAAATGCAAGATGTCAACTGTTGCATTGGTATATGTTTGAAGACGAAGAGGTCGTAGCAGAAGGGAAGATTGCAGCAACAGACCCAAGTGCAAAGGTGCATCACTTGCCACTCGGTCGAGACTGTTGGAAGGTTTGGGTTGAGGAAGTGTATATGGGCAATTTGACTTTATACAGACCTACAGATGAATTCCGAACTCTAAGTGAAGCCATGGGAAGTACTGTTGCTTGGCCAAAGAGCAGTATTAGGCTATTTTGAGTCAGGTATGTTTAAATAATTTTTGTCTCCTACAGGGGTTGTTAGACAATTATGTGATTTGGATAGATACTTTGTTAGAATAATATGTTTTGTCTATAATAGCGCATGGGTTCTTTTTTCCCTTTTGAATCTGTAATTACTGTCTCTGGATCGAATGCAAATAGAGAGAGACAAAATTCTTTTAGCCAACCCCAAGTGCATTGCAACTAAGACTCAGATGTTTGCTGATTTGTTTTTTATTTTGACGTACCGAAACACTTCTTTCAATTTGTTTTATAGCTAGAACCATCTTAGTAGGTTAAGTGTACATCTCTTCCAACTGCTGTTGTCTTTGCACACTCATGAGAATGAGGATCCAAGTTTTATGTAGGTTTGTTCTATGGATAAGTGATTACTATAAATGCTGAAGTTGGTTGACGATGGATAGGCGATACTGGCATTTATGCTGAGGGCACCAGATTGATGTGTTGTTAGGGAAGATTGAATTGCTTTCATGGTAGTTAAGATTGATTTCTTCTCTAGTGTGTTTATGCAGCTACTCAGTATGGATAATTTACAAACTTGGTTCACGATAATTTTGCAGAACAATGCTATGTGTATATCTTGCATGACGACTTGGTTGACATTCCCTCCCATGTCTAAAGTCTACACAATGATGTGATGAAGGAATTCAAACCAAGAGTGAAGAAAGTGAGGAAGACCAAGAAGGAAAAGAAAGTGAAGGATCCATACAAGCCAAAGAGACCTCCAAATGCTTTCTTTGTTTTTATTTGGATCTAACTTTGTACTCTCGTTTTGATGAATGATGAAAAAAATGTTATTGATGTTAGGTTGATAATTTACATGTATAATGGAGTGAATATTGTACAATTTATTTAGTATGGTTTAATTTTGATGTAATTTGTTTTATCATTTTAGTCTTGATTTGTTATATTTATTTTTGGTGTGTCAGTGTCAACGATATTGGATATTTATTCCGGTAGTATAAGAAAGCAGGTATATATGAAAAAATGAATTAATTTTAAAAAATATTAAAAAGACCAACGACGGCGTTTTTTAAGCGTTGCCAAAGGGTCTACGGCAACGCTTAAAATCCTTTGGCAACGCTTAAAAAACGTTGCCAAATACCCTACAGCAACACTTAAAAAACGTTACCGTAGGGTCTACGGCAACGTTGGTTAAGCGTTGCGGTAGACCCTTTGACAACGTTTTTTAAACGTTGCCAAAGAGTCTACGGCAACGCTTAAAAAACGTTGCCAAAGGGTACGTTGCCGTAGGGTCTACGACAACGTTGTTTAAGCGTTGCGCTAGACCCTTTGGCAACGTTTTTTAAACGTTGCCAAAGGGTATACGGCAACGTTTAAAAAACGTTGCCAAAACCCTTTGGCAACGTTTTTTAAGAGTTGCCGTAAACCCTTTGGCAACGCTTAAAAAACGTTGCCAAAGGGTCTACCGCAACGCTTAAAAAACGTTGCCGTAGACCATTCCCTCAACGGCAACACTGACCCCCGCAACATACGCTAAAACGTTGCAAAAGGCCTTTTGCAGCGTTTTTTGGCCGCTGTAAAAGGCCTTTTTTGGCGTAGTGAGGAAAGCTGAAGCAAACAAAGAGATAGAGCTCAAACGTTGCAAGGCTGAAGAACAATTTGCAGATATATTTACAAAGGCATTACCATGAGCAAAGTTTGAGTTACTGCGAGAAATGATTGGAGTTACTGAAATATGTACCAAGGTGGAGTATTAACATTGTTGCATATTTTTAGTATTCTCTATACTAACTTGGGAAACAAGAAAAGTTTTGGGATTAAAGAATTATCTAGAATTCACTAGATATTCTTGTGAAGCGAGCAAAATTAAAATATAAAATAAAAAAATATAAAAAAAAAATTCTAGAATTCCTTAAGGACCAAGTAAAATAAAATAATGAAAACATAAAAATTTTCTAGGGGCAAGCCACCAACTTTTGTATGCTAGAAATAGGGGTTGCCACTTCAATTGTTGTGTGGAGAAGTTTAAAAGCATTATCATTGTAAAAGTCTCCTGCCATTGTAAAATTCTATTTTTCAATAAATTAAATTTTCATCATTCAATTATCTTGTCCAATTTAAAATTATAACCTACTATTTTTATCTTCAAAATATACTTCACATAAACCATCAAACATTTTCAATCTAATTTACTTATTTCTCCTACCAACTTTAAAATATCATCAATTTTGATATTTTAGATAATTATCCATTGAATTGCTGACCTTAATTTTCATATTCTCTAATCTTCTTTGTTTTCTTTGTGTTTGGTAGTTTATTACCAATGCAACATCACTCCAAGAACAAGGCCCATCCAGGGTCTTTGAATCAAACTAGAGGTCATGTAGTAATTTGATCACAGTTTCCAATTTGATTAATAGCAGTCTTTTGCCCGAATTCAGCCTGACCCACCTCTTGCAATCTCAGTGCATCATCTTCCTGTGAGGCAGCTATCTCATGCCTCTACTATCCAATCGTCTTTTACACCAACGAGGTCTTTACCTCCTCCTACTAGGTCCATATCTTTACCTCCTAATTTAGGTAAGCTTTTTTTTTTTTTAATCTTTGAATTCTCTTCTCTTTTTTTATTGATGAGAATGACATAACTCTTTGACCTTCATAACCAGTGCCTACACAAAGGATGTTAGGATATAATGCATACAAGCAAGTTGAGGTAGAGGTAGAAGCTTTGAAAGTATGGTGGGCTAAGAGAAATGTGCCAATTGATGAAGAAGAGCAATGAAAGATTATTTATTCAAAGAGTTAAACTTACCGAATTCACACTATGCTTACCGATTTCTTCACTCCTTACCGGATTCACACAAAGCTCACCGGTTTTAACGCTGCTTACCGATTTTTGCAAGCTTACCGTATTTGCATAACACTTACCGTATTTACTTAAAGCTCACTGGATTGTATATATCCTTATCAGTTTCTACAGAGAAAGACTCTATTTTTTAAAGAAGAAGAATGGAGAAAGATGCTCACAAACATTCCATTTCTTGCTGCATATATAGCCTTACAAAATACATGTTTTTCAACAACTTCCTACCTACTTCAATCTATCAAAGTTGACAACCATACATAAGACCATACTTAGACAACTTTACAAAATTTTTAAATTACCAACTATTGTACTTAAATCACATGACTTAAGATACAAAATTAAACAATCATTTGATAAGGAACGTGACAGATAAAATGTCATGCTACACTCAACATTCTTCCTTGACATTTTTGCTAAAAACACCAAGAAGATCTCTTAGTGTTTCAAACTTTCATTTCCCCAATGACTTGGTTAGAATATCAGCATGTTGTTCATCAGACTTGCAATATACCAATTCAATTTCCTTCATTTCTCGTGCATCCCTGATTGAATGGTATTTAATCTTGATGTACTTGGTTCTACCATAGAACATAGCGTTCCTAACCATTGCTGCTGCATTCTGATTGTCACAAAATATGATGGTTGCTTCATCTAGTTTATGCTTTAAATCTTTTAGCACTTTTCTTAACCAATCAGCTTGATTTGTGGCTTCTGATGCGGCAATATATTCAGCCTCTACAGTCGACTGAGCCACAATTTTTTGCTTCGATGAATTCCAGCAAGTGATGCTTGATCTAACATAGAATATATATCCTGATGTGCTCTTCATATCCTCGGGACTCCCAGCCCAATCACTATCTGTATAACTAGTTAACTTTCAACTTTATGACCTTCTAAACCAGATTCCTAAATCCTCTGTTCCTTTAACATATCTTAGGACTCTTTTAGCTACCTCAAAGTGCAATTCACTAGGCTTTTCTCTGAATCTGGAAAAGGGTATTTGCAGCATAAGTCAAATCAGGTCTAGTTGATTTGAGGTAGAGCAGGCAGCTAACAATACTCCTATAAACCTTTACATCTATTTTCTTGGCATCATCATTCTTCAACATATTTGGATTCTGAACCAAGGGAGTTGCTACTACAATTCTCCATGCTAAACTTCTTCAAGACTTCTTTAGCATACTTCTTCTAGTATATGAAGATCCCTTCATCAGATTGGTTGATCTCCATCCCTAGAAAATGCTGCATATTTCCCAAGTCTATCATCTCAAATGCTTTCTTTAAATCAGCCATCATTCCTTCAGTCAATGCAAAGTTGCTTCCTGTAATCAGCAAATCATCCACATATAATGATATGATTACCAACTCTCTTTTCTCCTCCTTTACATAAAGAGTCTGTTCATTCACACTTTTAGCAAAGCCAAGACAGGTTAAATGCTAATCAATCCTGTTGTACCAAGCTCTTGGAGCTTGCCTTAATCCATATAAAGCTTTCTTTTGAAGATAAACTTTATCCTCCATTCTATCAGTCACAAATCCTTCAGGCTGTTCAATGAAGATTTCTTCATTTAAGTAGCCATTTAAGAATGCTGATTTTACATCCAACTGATTAGATTTTCCACCCTTTTTGAGCTGCCATTGCCATCAGCAACCGTATTGTTTCATACCTTGCAACTGGAGCAAATGTATATGTGAAGTCTATTCCAAATTGTTGTGCATACCATTTGACAACCAGCCTTGCTTTCAGCTTGTTAACTGATCCATCAGGGTTCAATTTTGTTTATACACCCACTTAACACCAATTACTTGCTTATTCTGAGGCCTATCAGCCAATTCCCATGTGTCATTCTTTTCTATCATTCTGATTTCTTCCTCCTTTGCAACCATCCACTTAGATGACTTAGAAGCTTCAACAAAACTTGCTGGTTCTACAATTGCAGCATTACATCTAGCATAGACATCTGCTAGAGGTCTTATTTTTATCATGCCTTCATCTATTTCAGAATCATTATCATTGTCACCAGGTTCCAATTCATCCTCCATCACTTTCTTCATCTCTATTATGAGGAATCACATTACTGATTTTTCTTTAACTACTGAGTTAGCATCCCAGTTCTAAGTAGCATTCTCATCTACCTTGATGTCTCTACTGGAGATTACCTTTCTTAACTGAGGGTTAAACACCTTATAACATTTGGCATTGTTGCAATAGCCAACAAGTATTCATACTTCTGCTTTATCACTGAGTTTGTCCCTCTTTTCATCAGGAACATGAGTGTGACACACACTCCCAAACACCTTTAAATGTGTGACTTCAGGCTTAGCATCATACCAAGCCTCATATAGTGTCTTTCTCTCAAAGATTTTGTTGGTAAACAGTATAGAAGATAGACTGTTGTATTAACTACCTCTGCCCATAATTCTTTGGGAACTTTCTTTTCAATCAATAAGCACCTGGCCATCTCCATTACCGCTCTATTTTTTCTTTCACTTACACCATTATGCTGAAGGGAATAAGGAATGGTTAATTGATGCTTAACTCCTTTAGCATTACAAAAATCATCAAACTGCATACAGCTGTACTCAAAACCATTATCAGTTCTTATGGCCTTTATATTGCATCCACTTTCATTCTCTATCATGTTTTTGAATGTTTGGAACATAGCTGCAGCCTCAGACTTAGCTTTTACAAAATAAATCCAACACATTCTAGAGAAATCATCAATAAAAATGATAAAGTACCTGCTGCCATTCAATGTAGTGGTCCTCATTGGTTCACAGATATCTGAATGCACTAATTCAAGCTTAGTTGTGGCTCTCCTTGACTGATTTTTTAGAAATGGTGGTCTGGTTTGTTTCCCAAGTTGGTAAACATCACACACACACAATTTATCCTTGATTTCAGGCAAATTTTCCACCAAACTGAACTCATTTAATTGCCTCAATGAATTGTAACTAACATAGCGAAAACATTTATGCCATAAATTAGAATTATCCAAGACAGAAGTGAGTGCTTGTATGGCGATGTTTTTTCCAATCAATAGGGAAATTTATGTTCTTCATTTCAACTGTCATTACTTCACTTCCATTTTTGTATAGTGCAAGCATTATCTTTAAAGTTAAGTGTGTGATTCTTTTCAAGCAATTGCCCAACACTAACTAAATTTTGGTCAGTCTCAGGCACATAAAGAACATCAGCTATATGTTTAGTACCTGCAGATGTCTGTACTTTAGTTATTCCAATCTCCTTCACATCAACATAGTCTCCATTGCCAACCTTCACCTTAGATGAGTAGGCCTTGTTCAATTCAACAAAGATATTCGAGTTTGTTGTCATGTGGTGTGTACAACCACTATCTAGCAACCAATTTTCTCCTTTGTCATTGGCCTGAATAGCTGTAAATAGGTGTTCCTCCTACAGATCTTGTTGATTCTCTGCAACCTGAACCTGCTGCTGTGTTTGCTTTCCTTTTCTGGTTTTGCACACCTTTTAAACATGGCTAAATTGCTTGCAACCTCTACGCTAAAGCCAATACCAATACCATTTAGGAGAATGCCCCTTCCTTTTACAATGAGGACAAGGTGCAAATTTATCATCTCTGTTGCCAGTTCTGTTTCCTTCAGGTTCTTTCTTTTCAGCTTGAGGTTTCTTCATACCAAACCTCATTTGGGCTTTGTATTTTCCTTTAGCAAACATGGCTCCTTCTATTTGTTCTTCTTGTCTCATTAACCTTCTTTGTTCTGTTGCTTGAAGAGTATTAACGAGTTCAACCAAAGTAATTAATGACAGATCTCTGGAATCCTCAAGTGATGATATTTTGGCTTCAAACTTCTCAGGTAAGCTGATCAAAACCTTCTCTACCACTCTTTTATTTAGCAATTCATCTCCCAGAAGTTTGATTTGATTTACAATCTTCATCATCCTATCTAAAAAATCTTTGACAACTTCAGTCTCCTTCATCTTCAAAGTCTCAAACTCTCTTCTTAAGTTGAGAACTTGCATTTGTTTCGTTTTTTCATTACCTTGATATTCTTCTTTCAAAAAATCTCAGGCTTCTTTTGCAATCTCACAAGTCATGATTCATATGAATATTACATCTGAAACGGCTGACTGAATGCAAGAGAGAGCTTTGAACTTCTTTACTACATCTTCACTATGCTGCTTTATTTGAGCCATTGTTGGATTAGCCCTCAAAGGTTCTTGTTCAACTCCAGAATCAGTTGTCTCCAATAGGTCATAAGCTTTAAGATAAGCTTTCATTTTAGCAGCCCAAAAGTTGTAGTTTTCTCCATTGAAGGTAAATAGTAGTGGTGCTGAAAAACCAGTTGAAGTCATTTTCCTTCCTGTCGATTTTTGCTGATTGTTTCTTTGTAAGCTTCTTCTTTTCCTTTCCTTCTTTTTAGAGTCCCTTTTCTAAGATCAATCCAGCTCTGATACCATGTTTGAATTTATGAATCAAAGAGTGGAATTTACCGGATTTGATATATACTAACCGGTTTTAACACTCATCACCGTTTAATACAACTC